CCAACCCAACAAACGGTTCGTGATTCCGTTAAGTAACGAAGGAGATATCGCCAAAATACCGGGACTGCGTCAGTGGTGACGAGTTCCACGGGTTGGCTATGTTTTCTTCATCATATCCATATCTTTCATTCAAAGTGCTTACCATAAAACTCATATTTTCTTTTCCAATCATTCTCTCTTGTTGGAAGATTCATTCAAGAAAAGGAAAGAGGAAGAACTTCAACTCCATTGGTGAAACAAGAAGAAGAAATCATCATAGTTTCTTCAAAATCCTGGCAGCAGCAAACCGTCACCTTGTGAGCCATTTTCATATATCTTAACGTCATTATTTCAGTCTGATTTATGAACAAAAGTTGTAGCCTCGTGTCTCGCGAATCCAACGCATCAAACGGTTTGCGATTTCGTTGAGAAACGAAGGAGATATGGTCAAAATACCGAGACTGCGTCGGTGGCGACGGGCCTCTCAGGTTTGACTACTTTCTTTTCAATATTCTTTCCATTCCGTTCAAAACTCTTATCGTCGATTCTCTAACGATTATTAGGAACTCCCAGAGAGTATCATAGAGAAGACCCGACGTTGGAAGCTTGAAGTTGATAGAGGTGTCCGTACGTTGAACGTTCGTTGAGGCGTATACTTTATTCCTATCACTTCCGTCTTCAACGTTATCAAGGCGAGTACATTGCACCCTAGTAACGCAATCCTTGGTTGAATATCAATCTAGATATATCTTTAGGATTGATTGCCATATTATAAGTCATTTGTGCTTTAAGATCAAACTCATTAGACTCATAAAGTAAAAATATGTTTTTCTTGATACTTCACCTTAAATGAAAATGTAAATGTTAAGAATATTTCAAATACATAGATATGTTAATCATAAGTGTTAAAATAACTCAAAGAAGTATTTTAGATGTCAAAAAAATATAAAAGAAAAAATAAAAAAAAAATTCGCGCCAAACGGTTGACTGTTCCGAGTCCCGTAGCTTAATTAAATGATATTTTTATCAGATTTCATCCAAATAAAATAAAGTATATTTATCCAATCATGTTGTTTACAAATTGTTCATATCATGTGATTCATTTCATCATCCATATTGAAACATATCACATCATGTGCATGCGCAAGAGATCAGGCAGAAGTGCGTCTCTTGTAGTTGTGATTGTGCGGGACTTAGCAGTCCGACATCACGGACCGGGCTTAGTGTACGTACATGGTACTTAGGCTTTCGAGTACCACCCCTATTTCTGCGTGAGTTCGTCGTACAAAATGGGCGAATCTCATAGTTCAAGGCTTGTCCTTGTGACCTAGAATCATACAGCATGAATTCATCATCAAGCAAATGCAATCATTATGACTATGTATGACATCCATTACGTATCACAATCATCATTTGAGCATACATGCTATATTATGTCATATCATGATAATTATATGTCTACTTGCT